CAAAATGAAGGTCACTGAATGTGGTGTATTTAAAAAAGAATTGAGAACTAAATATGCTGGGTCGATGATGTCAGTGGTGTAGTTATGTTCCCTAATGTTAGATGAAATAGCCCCCATGGATTTGTACTTAAAAACTCATTTTGACATCTAAAATGTTAACAATTCCCAAATCATTCTTGTTCTGTTTTGAAAATCATGATAAACCTAGAACCACATTATCTCATGGTCAGTATGTCAATATATCTTTTTAGGGACATGCCAATGATAATATCACTGTATCACAGCCTGTGACCTGTGGGTGTAAAGGTCTCATACCCCATTTTGCCATGGGATCACCTGAAGCATGACATGCTACTGGAAGTACCTTGCTCTTTGAGGTTCTTTCTTTAATATTAATGCAGAGGCTCCATGCCCAAGAAATGTAGTTTGTACTTAATTGTTAGCTCTAAGAAACATCTGTTGAATCCTTCAATACCATAATATCTTCACCCAGTTTCTAACAATAGAAAGGATAATATAAGCAACAGGCAAAACACTGGCAAACACACATCACACATCAGTTTAAAACTAAACTTATTGTCACAAGATCCTGAATCTATGCTTTTGCTCTGTTTTGTACTGTAGAGGGTTAATATTTGCTATGATGAAAAATCATATGTATTATAATTGTTTACCAGTCAACTGGCCAATTGCATTGTTCTATTTTTGTTTTAATGAGTGCAATGCATTTGCTAATGATGGCAAATTGCAATTTAAATGCAATTTGCTGCTACTCTTTCATCATAGATGACCATTCTTTTTATAAGAATCTCACTTTAGCATTCAAGTCTGCAGGAAGCATGCCATTTAAAATTGAATTATAATGTCATGACTCTCTGATTTTCAGGGGCTTTTTTTAGTTGTACAATATATTACAAAATTGAAGTATATTTTCCAGCTGGAGCAGTAACGAGACCATGCTAACATAATGAGCAAAATTGATTTGAGTTTAATTTTATTTTATTCTAATGAAGCCAGAGTCTGTACTATCTAACTGATAGTCAATTGAAGTTTACAACTAGTTAAGAATTTACTGGAAATCTCTGTATGAGGAATTCAAAAGGATATTACTGTTCATTTCCTTTTCATTTAAATATGACTACAACATCATGAGAATTTGGATACATTTATGTTGAACTGATTTAGTGAAGGACATAAAGTGAACTGACAGAATAAAACACACATTTAAAGCAGCAAAAATAAATAAAGTAAAACACGGGCAATAATTTGTTTTTTAATGTGTGCACATATAACTGGTAGACAGCTGGGGAAATGCCCAGGGTCTTTATCCCTCTCCTAATTCCGCCTTTCCTTTTATCATTTTATTTTTGGCTGTCTCTGGACTTGATTTTATAATAAAAAGAAGAGTAACTATTTGTAAACATTGACTGTATATTGTTTTGGTATCAATGCTGGAAATTCAAAATAAAAGTTTAAATTTTGGAAATACACAGAACATCAGGTGACATTTGTGGAGATCTTCAACCTGAAATATTTACTGTTTGTCACCTCAAATACTGCCTGATCTGAGTATTTTAAGTATTGTCTGTTTTATATTAAAATAAATATTGGCCCTTCAGAGAAATACACACAGTGAATGAGAAAATGGTAGTCATGAATAAATATTTCGTGTCTCATTTCAATAGAAGACAAAGATTGCTTACTAGATATAGAGGGGTTGATGAGTGGTGCTGCTACTTATAGCTACACCTCGTAGGAGATCTTCTGCCATGATCTGCTACATCATCTGTCTTGTTTCATCACACATCCATTGCAGCTATCATGTAAAGACTCTGATGTCTGCTTTCTAACGTGTGCTTAAGTTGACTCCAATTTGTCCTCCAGAACAGATCTCTGTCGTTTCCATCACCGATCAAGCGGCTAAAGTACTGTCGTTTCCTTTTCTGGATGTCACTTTTCAGAGTTCATTTTGCTCTTGTGATTTCAATCTCTTCAGTTGTTTTATGGTGTGATTTTTTTTTTCTTTTTACCATACAACTTAGCATCCACATGTCACAGGCATCTTTAATCATCCTTAGATCTTTACTTATTATCCACAAATGTAGACAGAATGAGGCATCTGAAGTGTGATGAACTTAAACTAATTAATATCAGCAGGGAAGAAGTATTAGAAACACCTCAGTGGCTAAAAGCCAAGAAAACCTCAGGACTCGGTGTCTACAACTTAGCGTTCTAAAAGAGGTAATTGTAGAAGCAGTGGATGCACTGGTCATGGTTTTCCAACGTAGAATTTCCAAATTTGGTTAATGGAAAGTAGCAGAGAGCAGGGATAACTGATAGGCCATAACTAGTGGAGTGCCACAGGATCTGAGGTCTGATCTCTGCTTTTTACAATCTATATTCATGACTTGGGCAAAGAGACCAGGAGTAATTCGGTGTATTCAAGCTTGCCAAAGACATGAAGCAAGGTTGAGATTTTAGCTGAGAGGCAGACAGAGGCTGCAATAAAATAAAGATGGGTTAAGTAAGTGGTCAACAAATAGTAGATGGAGTGTGATGTGGGGAGGTGTGAGATCATTTTCCTTTGCACGGAAAAGAACATTTTTTAGATGGTGTGAATTGTGTAAGTGTTCATATTCAGAAGGACTTGCGTGTCCCAGGATAAGGAGCACAAAGTTTGCATGTAGATACACCAATCAATTCATGGGATGTGGGCTTTGCTGACTGGATCAACATTTATTGCCCATTCCCAGTGCCCTTGAAGGTGGTGTTAAGTTGCTTCTTGCAACCCATTACGTATTGGTAGGCCCACCGTGCCATTAGGGAGGGAATTCCACCTTTTTGAATTGGTGACACTGCAGAGAAGGTCAAAAGCAAAGAAACCTGCAGTGAGTATGTCACCTCCTGACTCCTCAAAGCCTGTCCACTATCTACAAGGAACAAGTCAGGCATGCCATTTGTCTAGTGAGTACAGCTCCAACAACACTCTCTTAGTTTGATACCATCCAGGACAAAGCAGCCCGTTTGATTAACCCTACTACGGCCACAAACAATGTGGAAATGGAACTTAGACCACACAAAGACTATGTAGTTGTCACTCGTACAAATATTGACATGGACAGATGCATCCTCAGGGTACACTGAGGATGAAGTCAAATACATTTTTTCCCCCCTGTTTATGGTTTCCTTATCACCTGTTGCAGACCCTTTCTAGCTGTTAGGTCATGGAGGTATCGGTGCTACTGTGCCACTCGGTGATGGATGTTAAAATGTCCCACCCACAATTCATTCTGTGCCACCATCATTAGTGCTTCCAAGATAACAAGGTGTAGAGCTGGATGAACACAGCAGGCCAAGCAGCATTACAGGAGCAGGAAAGCTGAACTTTCAGGCCTGGACCCTTCTTCAGAAAATTCCAAGTTGTGTCCAATATGGAGTATGTTAGCTGCTGAGGGTGGGTTGGGGATGTGGTAGGTAGTAATCAGCTGGAGATTTCGTGCTTATGTTTGACCAGATATGATGAGACTTTAATGGGTTCAGAGTCAATGTTGAGGATTCTAAGGGCAACTCCTTCTTGACTGCACACCACGAAGCCAGGAGGGATTGTTGTGTTGCTGTGACAGGATGTATTCTGGATGGTGAAGGTGGTGTTTGGGACGTCACTGTAAAGTATGATTCAATGAGTATGACCATGTCGCTGGCTGTTGCTTGTCTAGTCTGTGGGACTAGTTTTTGCACAAGCCCCCACATGTTAGCAAGGAGGACTTGGCAGTGTCAGTAGTGCTGGGTGTGCCGTTGTTATTTCTGATGTATCAGTTTGATGCCAGGTGGTCCGTGGTAAATAAGGTTTAAGAAATAAAGTTGTGCTCTATATTGATGTTTCTGTAGTGGCTTGATACAACTGAGTAGCCTGCGAAGGCATTTCAGAAGCTATTTAATATCATTGCTCTGGAGCTTCATTCACACGTAGACCAGATCAGGAAAGGCCAGTAGTGTCTTTTAGAGAAAGAAATTTAATGAGCTAGATGGATTTTTACAATAACCAGTATTAAATTCATGGTCACTCTTAAGACAACCTTTTTTAATTTCAGACTTTCAATTAAGTTAATAAATCTATCAGCTACCACAATGGGATTTGAATCTGTGTATCCAGAACATTAGCTTCTGGGTTGCTAGTCCGATGATGTTACTATTACGCCACCATCTCTACTACTCGTGGCCCTAACTCTTCGTTCAACTTTATCAGGAAATTTTTTTATTCTTTTACCCTTAATATTTATTAATAATGTTTGGTGGCATTTTGTGTTGAGTAGTTAGGAACTTCGAGTACAAGATTATCAGGTTGCATTTGTGCATCTGTTTTCATTATCCACTGCTAAATATTTGTTTGCAGTGTCATTGGTTTGACAATAACTGCTGGAGTGACTCGCTGCAAAATTAAGTGTCATTAGGTGGTATTAAATTAATGTAGCAAAAATGGAAACAGATTCATTAGTGTTCAAAGGTGAGCAGAATTAACTAAATGAAAACTTTTCAAAAGCATCCACATGCACGACATTAAATTAAATGAAGTAATCTGAAGAACTACGATGAACATGCAGAATTACTGCAACACTTTGCACAATGCACAATTTTCTTGGAATCCGTGATGACTCACTTTCTTGGCAATGAAGAGAGTAACTGACATAACTCGGTGGAAAAATACAGTTACATAACGATGAATATTACAGCTTTATTTTCATCATCTCCCTCAACTCTTTGATGTTGGCATAATGAGGGAAGTAGGCTTACTAATATCCTGTTTGAGCAAAAAAGGCAGCGAGAGTGTTGTTGCCTTCCTTATTTTCCTAATTGTAGCCCTTCTCAATCAGTGAAATCAGCATTTCGGAGTTACGTTTAAAGTAGGGCTTTGCTCAGTTGTGGTTGTTAATCAAGGTTTTTGTTTTTTAATTGCTAATTTTTTTTCTTCTTTTTATGGTGATTTTCTTCCTGTTTCATAGGAAGGCTCTTATTTAACCCTATCCTGGTCACCAATGTGGCCTGAAGAGTTCCAGGTTGAAGTTTGGGGAAAATCAGAGGAAGTATAGAAACATTAAAAAATCGGAGCAGATGTAAGTAGGCCATTCAACCCTTCAAGTCCTTTCCACCGTTCAATATGATCGTGGCGCTGATCATCCAACATTGCACCCTGCTTTCTCCCCATACCCTTTGATTTCTTTAACCTTAAGAACTATGTCTGGTTCCTTCTTGAAAACATTGTGTTTTGGCCTCAACTGCTTTCTGTGGCAGAGAATTCCACAGGCTCACCACGCTTTGGGTGAAGAAGTTTCTCCTGATCTCAGTCCTAAACGGCCAACCCCATATCCTTAGTCTGTGACCCCTGGTTCTGGACTCCCTGGTCATCAGGATCATCCTTCCTGCATTTACCCTGTCTAGTTCTGTGGAATTTTATAGGTTTCTATGAGATCCCCCTCATTCTTGTAAAACACAGTGAATATAGTCATAATAAATCCAGTCTCTCCATATTGTCAGTCCTGCTATCCCAGAAATCAGTCTGGTTTACCACATTGCAGTCCCTCCATCATCAGAACGTCTTTCCTTGGATAAGGTGTGCAGTTTTGGTCTCAACACTCCAACTGTGGTCTCATCAAGGCCTTCTACAATTGCAGCAAGACATCACTGTTCCTGTACTCAAATCGTCTCACTATGAAGACTAACATACCATTTGCCTTCTTCACCGCCTGCTATACCTGTAAGCTTACTTTCAGCGAACTACACAGTCTAACTGTTCGTTTGAAGTAACTGTTAATGAATCTTAATAGGATATAAAAATTGACTAAACATATTTTTTTAAATTAAGAAGTATGGCAGAACTGGTAAATGAGATTAGGTTGCAGATCAGCCATGATCTCATGGAATAATAGGACAGGTTTGTAAGGCGAAATGAAATACCTGCTTTGTTGAAGAGTTTGCCCTCTTCCTGCCATCCTTGGAAAAGATCAGCTCAGTACAACCCTTTAGATTCCAGAGTAGATATTGCAGATAACGTTGTATATTATTGAATCAATATGCCACTTAGCACAACAAATCTATGCAAAGATCTTTTAAAATGGCAGAACATGCTGGAAGTAATTAGCAAAGCACAGTGTTTTGGGCTTGATTGCAATACAGGGGCAGTTGGTCCCACTGCTGAATGGGCATCATTGTCTTTGCTGTTTGGGGATTGGGCCATGGTTACTCCTATAGGTCAGGTCTAACCAACCCAGGGATTATAGGTGCGTCAGTCGAGGAGCCGTGCAGACATCTGTCAGGGGGCTAGGCTATTCTTAGTTTGGGCAGCCTTCATAAATCAGTCCTTGTGGGATTAGGCAACAGTGGTCAGGAGTATTACCAGAAGGCAGTGAATGGATTGTTGGGGAAAGTGGGAAACTAAAGTCTTGGAATGGGCTGCATTATATTACATTGTGGTGGGGGGGGGGAATAACAACTGTGAAAGGGAGCAACTCCAAATATAAGGGTGAAAGCTGATCCAGCATAGGAGGGTATGGGTGGGCAGTGATTTTGCAAGTCACCATGACACTGGATTCAGTGGGCTATGGGGATGGTGTAGGAGGCAGCAATTGGAGACATTTATGGCCAAATAAAACAGTTGGATGGGAATGTGGGGAGCCCAAAAGCTGATGGAATTGATTGGGACAGCAAAAAAAAATGGAACATGAAGAGTTTGGTGGGTGTAATTCTAATTATCAAGCGGAACTCCCAGTAGTGTGAAATGGATAACATCGTTTTCATTCAAACCTCAAAAGTGCAATAAGGAAGACAAGATGTTTGCCAACTTATTCAAAGTAGGTAGAGTAAGTTCATTTTTCTAGTCCGGGGCATGTTTGCAATATGCCAGGGGAGTTGCATTAATCAAGCATCCATCAGGCTGCACTTCTTCTGCAACTCCTGCATTGACCGATATTACATTTCAAACCTTGACCTCAAGTACCAGTGAGTGTTCTACATATAATTACCATTTTACAAAACCATTCCACCAATCTCAAAGCTGCAAAGGCCTCAGAGCTGCTATCTTTGCACAATGAAGTGTGAGAAAGAAAGAAAGAATGTGGTCTGTTATAGTCAGTCCTGCATTTTGTGCGCAGGCAGTGAATATATATCCTGAGACTGAAAACCTCCCAATGTTGTTTGGTGAATGCTTGCAACGCAGACATCTGAATGAAGTGAAATAACTGACGTCCATGGAAAAACATTTCACTACTCTCCTGGGAGACCTCCATTTCCATACTGTATCACAGCCTAACATGAAGCCTCATTTATGCTTGCTACAACTTCTCAGGAATCACATCCTGGAAAAGCCATTCTGGTTCTAATACTTTTCATGGAATATCAATGCACCATCCTGAAGGAATTCATCAACAGCAGGTGCTGTTTTCACTATCCCAGCCATATACAGACACCTCAAGAGGAAGCAGCGTGGTACTGATAACATTGGTGGTCTCCTCCAACCTTAGATCCAGTTTGCTCAAATGTCACTGACCAACCCTGCCTGCTATCCCTATGCTTGAGTATTTGTACAAAGTTATTAACGAACAGCAGATGGGACTACCATCTGTCTAGGCCTGAGAACGTTCCTAGTCTCTGGTAGTCCTTTCAATTCCAGAGACCTCAGGCATTTCTTCCTCAACCAGTTGCGAAGACATGCCAGTGATCAAGGGTTATGGGGAGAAGGCAGGAGAATGGGTTTGAGAAACATATCATGATCGAATGGGAGAGCAGACTCGATAGGCAAAATGGCTTAATTCTTCTCCTGTTTCTTATGTTGTTATGACGTGGGCACCAAATTGTGATCACAAGTCAAAACTAGATTAAAGTACCCACCGAATACTCTTCCACTGAAGTGGAAGACTCTCAGCTGGTGGTGAGTGCAGGTGAAAGCCTTACAGGAACATCCTCAGAGTTGTGGCTTCCTTTTGCAAAGTGGAAGTGGATCTGGCACACTCAGGTTCTGGCATCGGTGGTTGTGTGGGTGTTACTGGTGCCTAAGTTAAGAGAGGCCTTTGTAGTGTTAGAAATTTGAGTATCTTAAGAATGAATTAACAGAGGTGGTAATGTGAGAAAGGTGCAGTGCAGTACAATGAAGCCTACTGTATTAACTAGGTCAGAAGTCACACGACATCAGGTTATAGTCCAACAGGTTTATTTGAAATCACAAACTTTCAGGGCGCTGCTACTTCACATGTTGAACTTCACCTGACAAAAGAGCAGTGCTCTGAAAGCTTGTGATTTCAAACAAACCTGTTGGACTATAACCTGGTGTCATGTGACTTCTGACCTTGTCCACCCTAGCCCAACATCAGCACCTCCGCATACTGTGTTAACTGATCTGGGAGGTATCAGTGTGCTCATGTGATCGGTCTCTGGCCATTCCCACGATCTTCTCAAGGAGCAGGGAAACTAATGTCGGCAACTCCCATCCTGTCTTTGCCCTCCCGGCCTGCTTGGGTGACAATTTCTCCTGCAATGGGTAGAAAGGTGATATTGAGTAAGATGCACTTGGATGGAAGAACTGTTCTATGGTGATGTGGAAGCAGAAGTGGTGAGGTGTCCCACTGAGTGAGTGAGGAAGCGTAGAAGCAGAAAGGGTTAGTAGTTTGGGGAGATGTGAGTAAGAGCCGTTGAATTGAGTAGCTGTGAACAAGAGTGAGGGTTGTAGATGGTCAGCCTTTGAGAGATCAGTGTGTAGTGGCAGAGTTAGAGTATGAGGTAGCGGAGAGAAGATAGTGGTACTTACTCTTGCAGAGCACAGCAGAACATGGACCTTCTTCCTGCACGACTGGATGTTTCACTTAGTCTGAGAAACAGCACTGTCCCAAGACCACTGTCGAGATTCAGACTGGCTGGATCTGTGGGTCCAGCAGTGGCAAGCACTTCTGAGCTACTCCTTTCTTATGATTGGATGAGCCTGATGCTGAAGAGGATGGTTTATAATTAATTATGAATGATTAATTGCATTAGAAACGTTGACAGGCACTGGTGGAATGCCCAACCTGAATCTCTCTGAAAATGACAACATTTAGCCTGTGAGCATATCAACTTGAGGGGGAAAAATAAAAATCATCAATCTCCTCTTGTGCTGTTTAACTGTTAGTTTTTCCCTTGAAGTTGTGTTATTGTGAATGATCTGGATGAGTAGAAGACAAAAAGCTTCAACGAAACGTGCCTTTTTTTCTTTCCAGCAGTACTCCAGTTCTGTGTGACCAAACGACGATGTATTCTAAACACAATGGAAAGACTTTTCCTTGTGCACCTTTTCTATACACCAAGATTTTACATCCCTGCGTCAAATCTCTCCTCTAAGGAAAATCACCCCAGCTTCTCCAATCTAACTGAAATAAATCACATTTTCACAATCAGCTGTCATATTTCTGCACATTACAACAATGCCTGCATGTCAAACATTATTAAATATGCTATAAATCACTTTGAGATGTCCAAACATTGTGAAAAAGTGTTATGGAAAGACAAATTCATTCTTTCACATTGTTAACCAAAACAAAGGCCTGTGACTGAGGTCAGCAATTGCAATGCAACTTCCTTTTGGCAGAAATTTTGTTGGTCAATAGAATTTACTAGTTATGCAGTTGATCAAAATGACACTAAGATGTTTTGTCAAACCATTATCAAAGCCATCATTATTAAAGTAATTAGATGATAGTCTAAGTGAATGTGGATCAGCAAATTGAGCCAGAATTTGCTTTATCAGGGCATCTAATAGTATCTGCCATTTAACAGACTTGACCTAGACCATTTAGCTCAAAATAGTTTTGTCCATAAAGTTGCTGAAAGTCTAAGCTGAGAATGGTGTATTGAGGATAAGGCATCATTCGGAACCCAAGTGAACAGGTCACTAAAAAGACCATGTAGTTGAACAGTGAGATTCAAGTATTGGGAAATAAATAGACTGAATTCACCCCTTCTCAATGTGGTAGCAAGTTTGTCAAAGAAAGGATGGCTAAAGGTGAGATGCCAGAAGCTATAAGTTGATTGCATAGTCCTGCCCATTAGTCTCAGTCAGCTGTATTTAACAGTATTGAGGTGCACGCTGGAGGACTGAAGATGTTTAGAGCGTTCATTTATCACTTAGTTGGACTGTTGATGAAGGAAACTGAACTTTCAGGTTGAACAAGGTTTGGTACCAGAACTACAGCATTCTATTTATAGAAAGGGTGAAGTTTAACTTGAGAGTTTTGCTTGAACCGGTTTTGTTTTACATATTGAAAAAAAAACTTGGTTGCAAAGGCGGGATCAAATCTTGGTTTGAATGAAGATGATACAAAGACTGTATATCGAAACAATAATTAAAAATTGGGGATGTTTATTCAGTATTTTCTTGCAAGCGTCAGTATGCAAGGATGTCCATGTAGTGCACATAATAATCAGTAAGATGCTGATAAGTTGGGATGTAAGCATTTGTCCTCCTTGGGTAGAATGATTTCTCTGATATTTAGGAAGCTAAAATATCATAGTTCCACTGCAACTCCATTTACAAGTTTGCTCACAACACAACCATTGTAGGTCGGATCTCAAATGATGACAGGACAGAAAACAGGAAAGAGATTGTTGTCTTTATACCATGCTGCTAAGCACTCAATCTCTCATTCAGCAAAATGGTTACTGGCTTCAGGAAGCGGAGTGGAGGGCACACTCCTGTCTGTATTAGTGGTGCTGAGGTGGAGATGGTCGAGAGCATCAAGTTCCTGGGGGTGATGATCATCAACAATCTGTCTTGAGCCACCCATGTCGACGCAATGGTCAAGAAAGCACAACGACGTCTCTACTTCCTCAGGTGGCTAAGGAAATTCAGCATGTCCACAAGGACTATTATCAATTTTTATAGATGCACCAAAAGAAGCATTCTATCTGAATGCATCACAGCATGTTACAACAATTGCTCTTTCCAAGACCACGAGAAACTACAGAATTGTGAACACAGCCCAGTCTATCTCTCAAACCAGCCTTCCATCCATTGACTCCATCTGTACTTTCCGCTGCCTCGAGAAAGCAGCTAACATAATCAAAGACTCCTTTCACCCTGGTTATACTCTCTTCCACCCTCTTCCATCGGCCAGAAGATATAAAAGTTTGAATACACGTACAAATTGAGGAACTGCTTCTTCCTGCTGTTATCAGATTTTTGAACAGACCTCTCAAATGTTAATTCTGATCTCTCTCTCTGTACCTTCCCTGCAGCTGTAATACTATTCTGCACTCTGTTCTACTACATTGCAATTTGTATGGTATGATCTGCCTGTAAAGCATGCAAAACAGCAGTTTTCATTGTACAAGAACAGAAAATACTGGAAAAGCTCAGGAGAGAAATCAGAGTTAACATTTCGGGTCGAGTAACCCTTCCTCAGAACTGTAACCAGCACCTGCAGTTCTTTTAGTTTTTATCCACTTTTCACTGTATCTCTGTATGTATGACAGCAATCAATCAAGTTGCTTGACATAGGGTGTAATTACGGGAAACTATTTACTTGATCTGCATACACACTGACATTTCCAGCAACTACAGTGTGAAATTTACATTAATTCTTGCCTCAATAGACATTGTAGGATGGATGTAACACTTCATACCTTTTGTCAGATCAAAATCTTCAAAGGCCTAGGGCTTCAGAAATGGTTTGGCCAGCAGCCACATTTGATACCTCCACCCTTGCAGGCAAAGTGCTTGGATATCACAAACCCAATCCTTTTTAATTGCAAATAAATGCTGTTTTCTAAAAATGTTGATTGTTGTAATGTTTTGTTGTCCAAAGATCTTTTAAAAAGACTTTTAAAAAGTCCTATGTCAATATAAACTCCTTTTTAGTTTATCAGATCAATTTTTCTGTATTGATTGGACCAATAACAAATTAATTGCACGCAACTGTAAACAGAATAGACATTGAACGTACTTCAGGAAAACTACTCCAACTCCTGGAATTGTATAAAGACTTTGGGAATTTTTTTTTCTGGCTGCAAAAAGCAACCTAGTTTGGGCTTTGAGTGCCAGGAATTAGGAGTAACAATCATGGACATTGTGAAGGAAAAATGTAGCTCCATTTCTCTCATCTGGTAATTCCAATATATTCTTGATGTTGACTGTGTCTCAATAGTATAAGGCAAGTTCTAACAGCCTTGAAATTTGTAATGTTGGAGTCATGCAAGAAATGTTTTTTCTTATGTGGATTTTCAGTCCCTCCTCCCCCATACCTTCACCCTGTCTGTGTATAGACACGTAGACATGGTATTTGGTAAAAGTGTGGTGTGCAGTTCCATAAGTGTACGGGAGTAACCACATCATGGAAAAAGATATTTTCCCTCTGGGGGAGAAAAGGGAGGAAAATCGAGAACAAAAAAAACCACCTTCATAAGAATGATTCATAATGAACAATTTAGTTGTTGCCTTAATGACTCAAATCAACAAAATGTGTGACAAACTGTTACAAAAGTTCTTTAGCTTACTGAAAATTAATACAAAAAACTGTGAACATTCCAATAAAGTAATATCCTATTATGGTGTTGTGGACAACTTGATGATGAAATAGGGAACCTAATATTTACTGTTTGTATCTGTTTAGACTGGTGAAATAAAAATATTAGGAATAGGAGCAAGAGAAGAGGGCAGAGCAAAGGTTCAGTGGCTAGCACTGCTGCCTCATAGTGCCAAGGACCCGTGTTCGATTCCACCCTCTGGCAACTGTGTCTGCGTGGGTTTCCTCTGGGTGCTCTGGTTTCCGCCCACAGTCTGAAGATGTGCAGGTTAGATGGATTGGCCATACTAAATTGCCCATAGCCTGCATATCCCTGAACACTATGTGGGTTTAGAGAGTGATGTATCTATGTAATTATAAATAGTTGAGGCTCCTGCACTAATGTCCTTTGTCATATTTTGTCAGGGTTTCCCATCCTCCTTTTCCATTTACCCGGTCTTTCCAAATTGATATGTACCCTGTCATAGTTAACTACTTAAATTTCAAAGTTAGAAGTTTCACTCGGCTGTTATCTGTATTTGTGTTAATTAATGTAACTAGTTAACCTCATTTATACAATTATTGTGTCTAACTCTGGAATCAATTAAACTACAGCCCCCCACAGCTCTTGTGCTGCAGTGGTAGTGTCCCTACCTCTGATCCAGCCGGCCCAGTTTTAAATTTCACTTGACCCAGCGGTGTCTCCGAAAATGTCTGAACAACAAAGCACAAAATTTGATGCACAGAAGTTCATTCAGACTGTGTTAAGTACAGTCTCGCCCAGTTCTCAACAAAAACCATTGTAAAACTGCAAGGTGTTTTTGCAGTAATTAGGTTGGAGGTGCACTGCTAATTTCAGCTCACTGCTATAAGTTTTATGCACATTCAGACCCTCAAGACATGTTAAAAGAAATTGTTTAAAAACAGCAAAAAGTAGTTGCACTTGATGGTGCTGTGTGCACTGATCTAGCTGTAGTTTTACATAATCATTTATAACTTGACACAGCATGAAGCTACAATTCTTGTTGTGTAAATGAGATTTGTTCTTTACTAGGTATCATAATGGACATATGGATCTGTGCACATGAGTTACTGACTTTGGATAAACGTCTGTAAAATTCAACTTGTGCCATTTCTTCAGTTTTGAAAGTGATCTTTGCAATTGCTTTGGACAGAACAAAAATGGATTCAAAATCAGCTCACCCTAATGTCAGTATTCCCAGCTTTGATGAACATCGTGAGAAAAAAAAGCGATACACTGTAAGTATAGAACAAAGCTTTCTTTGGCGAGCTTTCTGGAAACTTTGCTGATAAAATATTTTAAATTGTTCAACACGAATGCTACGTAACCAAGTATTTGGCCCATGTCAGGAGACAGAATACTTTCATAATTTGCCAACAATATGGGAATTTGTTTGGATTTTTAAAATGTAAATAGTTATCTTTTTATGGCACTTCATTTTCTTTCTTTCTTTCTTTCTCAATCTGCCTCATAGCTTCTCTCTCTCTCACACATACACTCTCTCTCTCATTCTCTCACACACACATACTCTCTCTCTCTCTCTCTCTCTCTCTCTCTCATTCACTCACTCACTCACTCACTCACACGGTCTCTCTCTCTCTCTCTCACACACACATACACTCCCTCATTCTGTCTCTCTCTCTCTTTCACATTGTCGCACGCTCTCTCTCTCACATTCTTTCTCTCTCTCTCTCTCTCTCTCTCTCTCTCTCTCTCTCTCTC